TGCGGATAGGCTGTTCCGCAAGTCATCCATGTCGGTGCTTGCCGGTAAGGAAGCCTCGTGAAGAATCGCTCATGTTCAGGGAACCTGCTTGCCGCATCAAATGCATTCATATGTCACCAACATGAGACCGAAGTCGGCACGTCTGTCAAAACTACCTGAACAGGGCCTCCAGACAGTCTTCCAGTGGTCCGGCAGGCGGCTCATTTAAGGGAAGCAAGCAGCCAAAGCAGCTCCTCGTCACATTAGCCTCCATTGCAGCAGCTTCGCGCACCGACGCTAGTTGTTGACTCTGTATATCGTCTATCGTGGGTGTCTAGTTGAACAGTTGGGAGGATCTCCAACAGGGAGGGCCTCATGGAGAGCCATCCTCACACAAGGTCGTCAGATTATGTCACATTCATCGCGAGCCTTGACGGTCCCAGAGCTGTTCCTGTGCACGAACTAGCCTCCCTCCTTACGATTCCTCGAAGGTATTGCGGGAAATATGAGAAAGGATGAGATAGAGTCGCACAGGCCTGTAAGATACAGAAGGAAAATGTGGGGCATGACGCAGTGCTTCATTCATCATAAGCGGGGAATCGGCCACTCTGAAAGCAACTCAATGAAGAAGCTGCAGGGACATCGACTGGAGCAACTTCCATCACAGGCGCTGGACGGGCCCGGCAGATTGAGCAATCTAGGCGAGCATTGTTGTGTGTGTGTTGCTACCATAAGCAATTTCTTTTACCGGAGTATCATTCACGCAACTGCTTATGATGTTAGGTCAGTGCTTACTGTAGCTAGGTTGATGTTCGGATACGGGGGTGTCCAAGCGCACGACCCACTCACATTTGAGCAGCGCATCTCATCGTCAGGGCTTCGACGTAGTGATTCTGGCGCTGCTCCTCTCGTGACCTTGGAAATCACTGGCAAAGCTCTGGGTGAAGCAACAGCAGGTCCTCTTGTTCGCTTCATGTGCGGCGCCCATGACAATGTGCAGATCAATACGTTGCATTGTGCAAGCTCATAGGTGAGCGACCCTCCAGGTCACTCGGTATGCTTGCTTGCCTGCTTGCTTGCTGCGACAAGCACAGCACAGGTACATGCCAGACGCCGTAAACCGCACGGTCGTGATTTCGAAGGTGGCAGCCTCAGCAGGCAGCCTACTTATGTAGGCCTTGGAATGCAGTTTCATTTGCATGGCAAAACTTTGTCACGCGGCAGTACTGTTCATTGCGAAGGCTTTCTGACGAAAGCATTCCCAGTCCCGGAACACCAAGGAACACCTGGGCTGTTGTATCGGGTTGAATGCGGGTTGGCATGATCAGCCCACTGGAAGTGAACCCCAACCTCAGAGCGTGAAATCCTTTGGGTGCAATCTTTAAACCCATGATCAATCAATTGTCAATGCATGTTATCAGATCAAGTCACTGGCTATGTAGCGTGCAAAGGTGGCTTGCACCATGTCTAATTGAGGCCCGTGAGATGCTCCCTGAGGGCCGCGGGCTCCTCATAGTGGCTGATACTGCCAGCACCTTAAAGACTTGAGAGATTCAGCTGTACCTGTCCCGTTGCTTTGTAGCGTGGACTTGCGCGCTGGCGCACGCCCAAAGGATTTTTCGCTGTGCGGTTTCTAGATTTGGACGGGATGCGCGCATTCCAGGGCCATCATTGAGGCTTGCATCCACAATCATGACACATGCGGCAACTTGTTGTTGGCTTTGCGTGGCAAATGCAACGCCCTGTCCAAGGTGGCTTCCATCGGAAGGCGTGCTGCTGAAGCAGCTTTCAACTCCGCAGAAGTTTGGATGTTACTCAGATACGGAGGGGCTGTGATTTAATGGCTACGCCTGAGAAGGCACGAACAAGGCTGGTTTCGAGGCGAAATGCTGTTTGTCTTCCAGACATCCTGCTCTCCCCGAATAACTTCAGCCACGCACCACCGCAAAACAGCAAACACAAACAGGTTGGCACCAGGATGTGCGCGGCCTGAATGGGTGCACGGTGTTGAGGCGACACCAGCTTCTTTTGAGATCGTTTCGATGGAATTCTGACTCGCGGCTCACCAAAAGAATTTTCCGGAAATGAACAGGACCACAACAGCCACTTAAACACAGGCGGCCGGTTTCCGGCTCCTGGGCGACCCACAGATGCACTTCTCTGCTCTTCGTGATGCAAGGACATGCGGTTCAGGCTTCCAGCAAATCGAGATCCATGTTCGCACGCTTGGTGCCTACTATCCCGTGTCAATGTAGGACAGGAGTTGTCAATCGTGCAAGCTGTTTCTCCTTCGCGGCCGTCGCAAAACCATGTCCGAGTCTGAGCACTGTTGCCATGCAGCTTGCAACCCGCAGATCTGACCGCTCCATAAATGAACAAGACTGCTGGCAGACATGCCAAGGTGCAGAGGGAGAGCTTCCTCCTCTGCGACTGCCCCGAGATTCCAAGAGAGCTTCATCCACGAAGGCCGCCAGTGTCAGTTTCGTATGCCTGCAGCATGCCGCGGCCTGTCACAATGGCCGCACGACGTTCAATCAATCGCTTCTTTCTTTTCTTCGATTCGTGTATTCTGCCTTTTGGGCCATTGACTTGGTGCTTCATGTTCTTTTTGATTTGGCTGTTTCCACCTTTTCGCGTTGGTCAGCTTAAGGTCAGCTTTGTGAGTTTTGTTTTGCTGGCTTCTTAGCGGTTTGTTTTGAAGGCAAATTTCCCATGGTGTTTTCAGTCTCTACATATGGTACTGCGTCCTCATGGTCTTGAGATTGTTCCTTCCATTGCTACCACTTTCTCTTTTGGACCGTTTTGACAACCCTTTCGGTATGAAGTTAAATATAGGCATCATAGTTTGTTGGACCATCTCATAAAAGCCTACCACTAATAAGTTTGCCGCAGTTGTGGATACAATTTCAATTTACCATAGATTCATAGCTATCATTATTGTTTAACATGTTCATTTCTATGATTCTATGACTGTTTCTTTAGTATTCCGGCTCCTGTTCAAAATGTCATCGCGCCGCATTGATCGGAGTCAGGATTTTGACTGTTTGAGGTTTGCTGGTCAGAGCTTTTCATGTTGTCGATGCCGTTACTGTCATGGGCCAGTTGGTCGCCTGACTCCTATTCCCCCAACTAGTCATCTTCGTTTTTCGTTGCATGTTTAAAGTTCTTTCTTTTACACGTCTATAATGCCTAAACAGCTGGGGCAGTGGTTTGTGCTGATGTGCACCTTGCGTCAGTAACTACCTGTTGATGAAGCCATGTGACTGCATCAGCCCCCCACCATGCTGTAACAAAGCCAAGTGGGGTTGAGCGAAGCCAAGCCAAGCCAAGCCGAAATAACCCAGCCAAATCCAGCACCTGTCAACCGTGGATTCTATCGTTAGTGCGGTGAGTGAGCATCACCAGTCTTATTGTAGCTGGCTAGCATGGCTTTCCTTACACGATTATACTCATGATCATGATTATGGGCTTTTCTAGTGCACTTGCTGTGACTACAACGGCTGCTACTGCGGTTGTTCTTGTTTCGGTTAGGCCCCCACCCGGCAACAGCGGTAGAACGCGAACCCCAAAAGAACGCCAACATAATTGCTGTCATCCCTTGAGGTCACTGTTGATGGGTGCGAACCACACTTATTGCTGATTGAAGACTGGTGCTTGCCTTTCTTGTTAGCCATACCGTGGATGGGTCAAATCTTGCACCGCCCAATACAGCCCCCAATAACGGTAGTTGCAGTACTTTGCGCATTCTAAGTGGCACAAAACGTCCTACATCCACCGTAGCAATCTCCTAGTATACTCATGTGGACATGTGTTGTGTTCCGACATTTCTTTGTGTTTAGTTTCGACATTCTTTTCTTCATCGTAAGAGCTTCATTATAAATGGTGCTCTCAAGACTACTTATTAGTATTGCTGCAAACCTAGTGCTACGGCACGGTTCGGTGCGATAATTGTTGCTATAAATCTAGTGGCGGTGCCCGAAAAAACTACTTGAGCCACGGACTAAATTTCCGTTTCTTGAACCATGTCTAACGTCGGTCAGAATTCCCCGAAATCATTAGCCTGAATGCAAATTTGTTGGAAAACGAGATTCACGGCCCAACTCAAGTACTGTAAAACGAGATAGTAGTAGATTTGGTCAGTTGGTCTCAAGCATAGTGGGAACGAGATGGTCCCCCCCAACATGCTCCAGAATATGTAAAATGAGATGGAACGAGATTGCAGCACGAGTATGGGAATTTTGACCATAGGCCAGACAACAAATTTTGTCCGCTGCTCATTCACTTTCCGTATCATATGGCCCACAACCCATGGGAAGGAAAGATGGAAGGAAGGAAGGCCATGACCTACGAGATAGCCCTTACAGAAAAGTGGGCATGCTTGAACAAGAGGAAACACGAGGAATCAACAGCTTTCTTCATTTTGCGTCCACAGTCGTGATCCGCTGGTAGAGTGCTTTGTACTTACGACAATACGTCGGGCTAATGAAGCATCATTGCCAGGCACAGGCGCCAAGTCGCCGCAGACGGAGATCGCCAGGACGCAGAGACAACAAGACAGTTCCGGCAAAAAGTGACGCAGTCATTTTGAGCTAGTTAAACTCCAGACATGTCTGAGTGCACGGCGCGGCGATGTTATGCTTGCTGCAGCATTAGTAGGATGGCTCACCAGGTGTTTGCACACAATGGACCTAAATCCATGCATCAGGGTCATCAGGTGCCAGACGAAAGGCCCGAATAGCACCACATCCAGCGGTGTTAAGTGGACATTTGGCCAAGCGTCAGTTGCTGTTTCGCCGAGATTGGCCATGTAGAGACGGCCACGACTCTTTCTGCGGGATGGCCAGCTGCTGCTTGAATTGGTTCTTTGGCAAATATTGCAAGTTTTTGGAAAGATGTCAGGGGCTACGTGGTTGACTAAGTCTTCAGACTTTCCCGGGCTGTCTTGCGTGCTGCCCACTTGCTGATAATGAAAGCTAAGGTCAGCCAGACCGGGACAGGCCTGTTAACACGACTTGGCCCTAATGGAAGATCTCCAAGAGCCCGCGTTCGCTGAGATTGACACAGACAGCTTTGAGGTCTTATCCTCACACCCATTTTGCCGCGGCCTGCGCAAAGAGGCAGCTTGATAGAATTCATCAGGGTTCTAGCAGCTTCGTATAGCCCTTGCATGGCCCTCATATGTGTTTCGCTTCCGCGCGGAAACTTACGGAAGCCAAGGTCGTCTTAAGCATATCTCGAGCATCCAAGCGCTGGGTGTTTACGACCGCAAGTCGCATCATCTTAAGTGAAGGTGCGCTAACAGCAGACCTTTCCAATCTGTGGATTCTGACTCGTGGGGCTGTGGAAGTAATAGAAAGCGGACAAACCCTGTGCACTTTGGAAAATGGCAGCGTGTTCGGCGACTCCGTCGCGTTCAACCGATGTGACCGACAGCCTTTCACCATCCGAGTGCTACAGGTTCCCGTTGTCGCATGGTGCCTACCCTCTGCAGATCTACGGCAGACGATGAGGCTCCATGCCTCTGCGGGCCCGTTGATGGATGAGTTCGTAGACCAGCAGGAAAGGCGGATTCTTTGGCCACGTGCTTCAAAACTGTTAATGCTCTCGCACTGTGGACAGAATTTTCCCAAACAGCTGTTGAAGAAAGTCTCCATACGGCACGCCAGAGCCCACAGCCTAATATGGTCTCCATCAGTTTCTCGACAGTATCTGAAATCAGTGCTGACAGGAACTGTTCTCGTGGAGAGGGTGAGCAAGGACGCATTTAGGGTGCACGATGAAATGCCTTCTAGTCCCATACTTCGGTCGGATACCGAAGTGTCAAAGATATTTGAGCGGAGAAAAACTACGCACGTGACCATAGGCAGCACCGAGTTTTCAGATGATATTGTGGAAGAGTCCCGGTCATACAAGCGCCTAAGCGGTCCTGACATGCCAATGTCTCCTACCACATTGCAACAGCTGAAGTCCTTTGCCGCAACCAGCTCTATGTCCGGGTACGACTATCCGTCATTGGAGGACGTTGAGGACAGCAGCAGCAGTAGCAGTGCTGTCTCTGATGAAGAAGAGGATTCTGATTTATCCAGCACAAGTTCCAGCGAGTCCAGCGTCGAGTCGCAAGGGGAGGAGATGTACGATTTGCCCGACACTCTTGCAAACCTTGAGCCAGCATCAGGTACTGTCACGGCTAAAGCTGGGCCACATTGTCTGGTCTTCAATGAAGCGGGTGTCCTTGGTTATAAGGAAGCCGACAGTGCACTCTACAGACAAGTCGTGGCCTTGACAGACTGCATCGTTCTGTCTCTGAATGTGGATGGCTTCAGGGAAGCTGTGGAGAGAGCACCGCGTGAGAAGAAGCGCTTTGACTTGCTGGCTAATGCAGAATATCGCGAATGGGAGCGGTGTGGCATCCACAAGCTTCGTAGCTTAGAGATTTTCGCCAAATGCTCGAAGCAATTTTTGTCAGACCTAGCTCAAACAGTCGAGTCTACTCTCTGCTTTCATGGGACTGACATCATCACGGCAGATGAGCAAAGCACTGGAAGCACCGGATTGGCATTATTCATGCACGGCCACGGCCAGACCGAGAAGCGACATAAGGTTCAGTCGCCAGAGGTCTTGAGCAGTGTCAACTGGCTGGGAGATCGGGCTGCAGCAGAGCCACCGCGGCGGGTGAAGGCCAAGGAGGTTTGCCAAGTGCTCCGCATCTCTCAGCCAAAACTGCTTAGCCTTCTCAGTCGCCATCCGCATGACATTTGGCCGGCCTCAGGAATGATCTGTTGTTTCTGGCAGTCCTTTTCGCGTGTTTGCGTGCACTTCCCGAATCACACTACCTAGTTCTCAGGATCTACGCAAGAGAGCTGGCAAACCAGTAGTGCACCCTCAAGGTATGCGTTAGCACAGTTTTGCGTTAGCACCTCTAAGGAAACAGCCGTTATGGTGGCAGAAGCAAACCGTATCAACTCGCGCAAGCATGGGGGCCGTCCAGCGGCTTTCCAGCGGCCTTTGAGAGGAGACGGTGGGAATGGAACCAGCGGGCTGTTTTGGTATTGCCCCTTCTGCGATGGCTTAGGGGAAAACTTCCTGCAAGAGCTCATCACGCACATGGAGTGCTTCAAATTGATCCCTGGCCAGCACCTGTTTCGAAACCTGGAGGGCCCGAACGCCGACTTCCTTGTTGTGCTGACGAGGGGTAGGCTGCGCACACTGACGCAGGAGCCCGTGAAATATTTCAGAGACGTTGGTTGTATGAGGAGTTCTGGCTAGGGACCTACGTGAATAGGGCTTAATGATCGCATGTCGGTGCTTCCACTCTTCTTGGAAGCATCCGTGGATGTGTATGTGTGTGTATTTTCCTGCTTCTCGTGCTCTAGTGGCATGTTTCGCGGTCCTCCTCGCGCTTGAGCGCACGCTTCTCAAGAAGAGAGCTGTGGGCGTAACTCAGATATTCGTTTACTTGCGGTCTCTTCTCTTAGAATCACGTACGGAATTTGAGATCGAGCTATCATCTTGATGGCAAACTGCTGGAATGTGGATATATGTTTTATTGAGGTACTTGACCTTGTACCCCTGCCGAAACAGAATGCACTTGCAGTGCGGGGCAGTTGCATAGCAAAATGAGGATGCAAGGACAGCGCATGACGCGGCACTAAGAATCTTGCCTTTTCTGCTTGCTGCCTTTCAATCGCCACTTAATGTCAACACCATTTTTTGTCAGCACGTGAAACTGCCAGACAGGATCGCTTGTGCCCAACAATCGAACATCCTGAGCCCATATGGCCTAATCAGGCCTAATCCGTACAGAGCTCTGCCAGCACAGCAAGGGGGCAATGTTGCGGCACAACGCCGCAAGACCGAAAAACGGGTCACGGAGCCTCTGTCGCAAGAGGAGGAACAGCTGAAAATGCTATTGAAGGACAACTTCAGCTATGTCTTTTCCTGTTCTGCGTAGTGGTTGCAAAGAAGGGATCGAACGCGCCCAAAGGCTTGTCCTTAAGACCAGGAACAGGAAGAGAACCCCGGCCAAGCACAAGCCCCTCAAATTTGAAAGACATCAAGCGAACGCAGCGACAAGTTCACTACTGCCAGAACTGCCCATATGCTCATGACCTCGTACTGGTCGTTCTATTAAGCAGTACACTTTGTAAGCTTGTGAACTTGTGGCGATTGAAGGAAATTTGCGGCCGGTGGACATGCTCCGATGCCAATGAACTGCCGTACGCAAGAAGATGTAAGAAGTAAGTAACCATTGCGATGAGAAGCAGCTGCATCTTTCAGGGGCTCATTATCCAAGACTGCTTTCCTGTATAGAACTTGAGAAGGTCAAGTTCAGGGATAGGCTCACTCTTCTAACCGCTTCTTGCCGCCTTCGTTCCGCCAGACCTTGGATGCCCCCTTGGTGATCTGTGGCTTTGACAGATCGGGCTATGTCGAAACAGTGGCAGAGGACCTGAGCGAAGTCTACTGCGTGAACTTTGAGCAGAGCAAGTCCTTGCTGGCCGCTGGTTCCGAAGACACGCGGGCATTCTTGATGCGTGTTGTTCTATTTCAGGAGCGCTTGGAAAAGAAGCAGGGCTTGGGATGGTGGAGCTCCCTGAACGTTCTGAGACGACATGAGCCGTTTGCCGCATGCGCCGATTCCTTTGTCGAGGCCTGCGCGCCTTTCATGCAGGTGCGATTCTGCCTGCCCGGCGAGGCAATTGTAGAGGAAGGCAATCAAGTGGACCACGCTTGCATCATCGAGACGGGAACGGCAAAAGTACATCGGCAGACCAGGCCAGCACTGAGAGGCTGCCCGGACAGGACAGGTGAGGTTCGGGACAGCTACCTGGTAGGAGGCATCAGTGGAGCTTACGGCTTTGCAGGGATGCAGCGCCGCTTGGCAACCATCAAAGCTTTGACTTTGTGCAAGCTCATCGAGATTCCAATAAATGCTATCTTGACCCTCTTGGACCAGCATCCGGATGCCCGGCAGCGCTTTCGTGAAATTGCTGAACGGCGCTTCAAGGAATTGGCTCCGGAGCCGCTGGAGGAGCATCCCTTCTTCAAGGGGTTCTCCAAGTCCTTCCTGAATACGCTGCGGACGAAATGCAATGCTCAAGTATTCTTTGTGGGGGAGACCATCATTCGCCAGGGGGACCCTGCAGACAGCATGATCATCATAAGTTCTGCATCTGTTGTAACTCTATATGTTGATGGCCGCAAACTTAAGGATCTCTCCGGGGGGTGCACTTTGGGAGTGCCATCTATCTTGTCAGCAACGCCTGTGAAACGGTTTGCCACAATTGAAGCGCAGACTGCCTGCACAGTGCAGAAGCTCACACGGAAGGATTGGCTCGATGTGCTCAAGAATCATGCGGAGCACAGGCTCTGGATACAAAGCTTCACAGAAGAGCAACTTGCCCTTGCAAGTAAACAAGCATCAGAAACCACCAGACGATACCGGTGGCGAAAAATCAAGGAGAGGGAGACGGTGGCTGTCCAGGTGCACTGCATGCGAGCTCGCGGTGGGCAGGAGCACGTCAAGAGCCCTAAACCAGAAGCTCCTGCAATTTCCACTGCAAGTCCGCCGAGCTTTGAGCTCTGGGATTGCTTTAATGGGCGCAAGGCAATAGTGCCGCAAGTGAGGCTACCGGAGCTGTCAGCAAGACATCCCTGCAAGTCCATGGTCGAGGAGAACAGCGAGAACGAGTCGGATGTAGTCGAAGAGGTCGTTCGCTCAGGAACGAGCAGGCGTGGCAGCGATTTCGGCGGCATGATGCGCAAGATGGCCGCCAGAGCATCTCAATCATCACGCTACTCAGCGATTCAATGTAATGTTTTCAAAATGCAAGGTCGTATAGTCAAGGTAGCAAGCTCAGAGACCTCCTGCAAATTCCGCAACTAGTTTTGCCAGTCTGCCGCACCATTGCAGGAAATTGTTGTCCAAGTACGAAGTAGCCCATCCCAGGATTTCATTATTGCGTTCTCTCGTGCCACTGTGTTTCAACACCTATGAGGGGACACAACGAGAGGGGAAAAATTCCTTTGCTTTGGGTCGGGCAAGGCCGTGCCGGTACTACTTGCTCTCATGTTTGAAGGTTTTTGCTTGTGGTTCCTGTTTTGCTGGCAGCCAAAGGTCTCAGCGTGCTCGGCGACCTTCCGCAGATTCCGCAAATGGCAGACAAGCAATTATCTCATGAGAGTTGGTTGGACTGCAGCTTGCCTTGCAGCAGCAAGCCATGCTTTCATTTCAATTCTGTAGAGTCACGCAATGACTGCGTCATGTTGCTTTCTCATCTTGTGCTGGTAGGTCAAGATGCGTTCGGCCTTCTGTATACCCCGTTGACCGAATAGAGGACGACTTGAAGCATTGCGGCCTTCACTTCAGCAGCACCGCACCGCCACAAAGTGGCAAAGCGCTAGACTTGCAGAAGTGCTGCGGCCAAGATAGCAGACATGTCGCCAAGGAGTCTACCCTTTCCAAGGGCCCCCAAAACTAGGTTCAACATATCCGGGGCCCGGGGTAGCTTAGCTTTCACAATGTTTGACAGAGTGGCCATGCTAGCATGAAGCATGGATCGTTTGACCAAGCAGCTTTTCGTGACCGCTCGTTGGCATGGCTCAAGCATGTTGCAACCTTTGTAGGCGGTTTGTAGATAGACAGCAGCCGGTGGAGGCTGTTCGTTCGCCTGTGGCCCTGGCCGACATGCAGAATGCAACTGTGGTCCAGGGCAAGGTTATCGGAAACCCAAGCGACATGGGACAACCTCCTCATGGAGAGCAGATGCCAGTTGCAATGGATGACGGACCATCTGTAGTGCAGATGTCATGCAAAAGCACGCAGCTCCCCCCAGACATACGCCTGGGCTTCGTGAAAAAGGTCTATGGCATTCTCGGCGTGATGCTGTTAATCACATTTGGCCTTGCCCAGTTCTTTGTGTTCCAGAAAGAAGCCACACTAGAACCTTGCATGCGTTACTGCCGGAGAGCACCGGAGAGCCTTCAATCTGAGAGTCAGCTAGCATGTTAGCTTTCTGGCACGGCTTCACACTGCGGCTTCAGGCCTTCCTCAGGGCGAACATGTGGATCGTGGTCACGGTCGGGATCATCGTTGTGGCGCAGCTCTTCTTCGACATCGCAATGTCATGCCAGCTGTGCTGCGGCGGCTCTAGCTTGATTAGAGGCTACGAAGGGCCATTCATGCCAGGGCTTTCTTTTCTTGAGATACTCACACCCAAGCGGGCGCGGAGTCGCTGTTGTAGGTCTCATGTTCTGGCAGACGATTGGTTAGTCATCAATCCAACAGTGACGCAGGCTACTTGAAGATGATGGTGACCCCTCCGTGGAACTACTTGTACCTGATGGTCTTCTCAGTCTGCTTTGGTGTTCTTGTTGGCTATGTTTGCGCAAGTTACACTGCCGAGTCTGTGTTGCTTGTATTCGCGCTAACGGTTGTCATGATCGTGTGTTTGACCGTCTATGCAGTGCGTACGTCAGCCGATTTCACTGGCTGGGGTCCACACATGTTGGTCATTTGCGTGGGGCTGCTGCTCCTCCTCTTGATGTATTTCTTGCTACCTGACAGAACTCTGTTTAGCCGACTTGCCGGCGCTGTGTGTGCAATCATCTTTGGCATGCTCATTGTGCACGACACGCAGCTCATCTTCGGGTCTGCTGCGCTCGGGTTCGGTGGCTCTGCGAAGCAGTACGAGTACACCATTGACATGTATGCATTTGCAGCTTGGAATCTCTACCTGGATTTCATCACATTCTTTCTGTACATGCTTCAATTTCTGGGAAACAGGGAGTGATGAACTTCCGTTTTGCGCACGTACGACTGAGACAGCGAGCATGTGGCTTGCTATTGCATTCGGGCTTGTACAGTTAGCTCACTCCACAGGCCTGGTGTGCCACCATGCTTGGTGGGGCGACCGGGCACTCTTGGAGAGTCTGAGTCAATGCATGAGGTCATGCTGTGATGAAAACCATGTGGTGCAAGTGCATCATGATGCTCCAATCTCCCGCAGACATGATTTTGTATGTGGCTGCGACAGTTCTGAGGTGCGCTACCTCCTGAGTCTAACATGCAGTGAATGGGACGAGCACACGATAGCACATTTTCATCAACTGCACAGGAAGCAGCACATTCATTTTCATAGTAGAATAGTAGAGGTCGGAAAGTAAAAGACAGACATCGGGCCATGCGGTTCCTCGATGCTGGTACATATGAAGTGATGTGGACCGAAGTCAAGGTATAACCTTTGCACAGTGCATAGCACATGGATGCCGTTCTAAACCCCC